ACCAGTAACGTCACCTTCTTCCTAGCCCTGAGATTTTAAAAGAGCCATATTCAGTGCTCTTTCAGGGTTAGGAGAATGAGACCCATCATTGTTACTGGTATTTGGCATATTGAATATGACACGGGAAGTTTGTCAGACTCTGCCTTGCGGGCAGGATACTTTTGGTAGCCTGCCGGGCTCTCCAAAGGAAAAATAAGATAATAAGATGTCGTGCGGCCACATTTGTGGCCACGTGCTTCCAGGAGCTGGGTTTTATAGTCTCTGCATCTTGGCCATTGATGGGACCAACCTGGCGCTGGCGGCAGCTGGTGGGAGGGATGCCTACCTACTGGAAGATGGGGGGTCTGGGTGGAGAAGGCCCAATCCCAATGCGAGTAGGCTTGGAGACCTCAGCCCCAGAACCTGCATGCCTGGGTTCCTCTGCCAGTTCTTTCATGCATGAGGCCTGTTCGGACGTGTGGAGAGTGGTCCCAGCATGGCCATGGCTGGCTCCGGAGGTCCTCAGCTGCTGGGGCTCTGCTCGGGGCGGGGGGAGGGAGGGAGAGAAACTCAACCTTCCCCCCTCCAAGGTGCCCCGGTGAGGACAGCCAGGCGCGGGGGCAGGAGACTCAGATCCAGAACAATAAGGAAAAAATCCCCTAGATGGAGAAGTGTTTCTCGAGTCTGCAAATGTTTTCTGACCTGCCAGTAAGGACTCTGCATGGAGTCGGGGAGCTGCGTGACATGAGGTGCCTCTGGGCGACATGGACAAAGGCCTGTCACACTTGTCCCTGAAGTGCTGCCAGCGTTTCTCCACTGAGGAGGCTCCACTCCCTGCTCTCGGTCCCACCCCAGCCCAGGGCACCAGCGGGTGCTCCTTTGGCGAGCGGCGGGTGCGGCTTCCTGGGCATCCACACATGTCCACCCCAGACCCCCTCCGCCGGCACTTCTCAGACCAGCTACCAGGAGCCCGAGCACGGCCGAGTGTGTTCAAGGCACAGACACTCCCCGCACCCCAGGAACATCAGTGCCCGAGGCCTGGCGGTGTGCCCGTCCCTCCATCCCTCCTCCAAAAACAACCCACCGAGTCAGACGGTTTTGCTCAGTCTACACGGCTGTCTTGGGAAAGAAATAAAGCACAGTCTGGAACCATCTATGCAAAATGCAACTGGCAAGAAATAACACGGAGGGGCCGGAGCGGCCCTGGGCCTGGCCCACCCGGGTTCCATCCCTGCATCCCGTATGGCTCCCGGAGCCTTGCCAGGAGGAAGCCCTGAGCATCCCTGGGTGTGCTCCCCCCAACAGAAAGAACATATTGAAATGTGCATTGCTTTAAGCTTGCGGAGCCTACGTGAGGAGAGAACCATCCAGATCAATGCTGCATGCTTCGTAGGACGCTCCAAGGAACGGACTTCAGAGCAGGAAGAGTTTCTGAACCAAGGAATGCTAAGCCCCCCAAGGCTGTTTGCTGCTGGCCCAGCAGAAACACACGGCGTCCTTGTTCTCCTGGCTGAGCCTAAGGGTGCTGATGCCTTACTGCACATGTCTGCAGCATCTCTGAACACCACCTCCGGGAGAGAAAGGAGCCGGGCTCCATCACGGTGAGTCCTCCAGTGTCCCAAGTGCCCCACGTAGGACTGGACACCACTCCATGGGCCTGACCTCCTTAGCCTCATCTGAACGTGGGGATAACAATGCTCTTTACAGAGAGTTTGACTGGTTCCGAGTAATGGATGTGCCTGGCATGGCCCAGGGCTTCTATGGTCATGCTAGTGACGACAACGGGGATGATGACATTCCTTCTCGGGCTGTGCGGGTGTGGACAACGCCCACTTCTCAGGGGTCAGCTTCTTCCCACAGCAGCCGCAGAAGGAAACCAACCAGAACTGAGGATAAGAGCAGAGGGAGCCCTGACTAATCCCTGCCACGCATGGGGATGGAGCCTGGGGTGAGCTCGTCCAGGAGACCCCACTTCCCCTGTTCTCCGTAACCTTTCTCAGGGCACATCCTGGAAGCTCATCCAAGAACAACATGTAGGATTTCCTGATGACCCACCTCAAGACGAGAACTGAAGTCTCCTGGCCTTGCCGGCCACAGAGACTCCGACTGGGTGATTAGGAAGGAGGGAGCCACTGACAGCACGCAGGCCAGGAAGCCACGGGGAAGGCATCAGCCAGAGCCCGTGCCTCAGAGTACCAGCGAGCAGCCCCGCCGGTGGAGAGAACTCAGGCCAACACCAAATAGCTTGGCTAGGACGGAAGGTCCACCAGTGCCCTGGGAGCTGTGTGGCCTCATCTTGGTGCTTGGAGACCGGCAGCAGCCTGGACTTCCAAACCCTAGGGGGGCGCTGAGGCTGTGTGGACATGGTGCCCGGTACCCGGGGGGACACATGCCGTGCCAACTGGCTTCTGTGTGCGAGAGCCTGGTGGGCTACATGTGTCCACGGAAATAAGTGTTTGAGTGTGTGTGTATGAGTGTGAGTGTGTGTGTGCGAATGCCTGTGTGATATATATATGCATGTGAGGTGTGTGAAAATGTGTTTGGGGATGTGATGTTTGCGTCTCTGTGTGTGGGTGCGTGTGAATGCATGTTTAGGTATGTGCCCATGTATGTGTTGGGATGTGTGTGAATGCCTGTAGGATGTGTGTCCGTGTGTATGTGTGGGGGGTATGAATGCGTGTTTGGGTGTGTGATGTGTGTCTGTGTATGTGTGGGGGGTGTGAGTGCCTGTGAGATGTGTGTGTCCATGTGTGTGTGGGGTGTGAATGCCTGTGTATGTGTGTGTCCGTGTGTACATGTGGGGGGTATGAATGAGTGTTTGGGTGTGTGATGCGTGTGTCTGTGTGCATGTGGGGGGACTATGAATGCCTGTGTGTGTCTGTGTGTATATGGGGTTGTGTGAATGTGTGTGTCCGTGTGTGTGTGTGCGAGGTGCCTCCATTTCCACCTGAGCACCTGCCAAGACTCTGCCTTTCAACTCCGGGACTCGGGGCAGCAGCTCATAGCACGCTTGCCGGCCGTCACCGACCTGGAGAGTCAACAGTCTGCAGCCGGGAGAGGGGCCCGCGTCTCCGTGAAGACCCCTCTGCGCCAGGACCCGCGAGCCTCACAGAGACTCGGAGGCATGTGGGGCGATTCTGAAGACAGCGTTTAGCTCAGAGCGGCTCCATCACACCCAGTCACAGTTCTGTGGTCAACTCACCCCGCTTCAACGGAAAGGAGAGGGAGGCTGGCTCGCCGCCTCCTCCCGCCCAGAATCCGAGCCTGGGCCCAATGATCGCAGGGGCCTTTGGTGAAAGGCCCCAAATCCAATTATTATTTCACACCATCCTGACAAGGGCAGGCCACAGTAATGGAGGGGCAGTTCCAACAACAGAGGGCAGCTGCTTCCAGAACCTTCATCACCAAGGAGAGAGCGCTGGCGGGAACAAGTAGAAGCGGGGCCTGTCCTCACCCCCAGCCGTCTCGCTTATGTGGAGGCCACGAGACCCAGCGGCCTGGCGGCAGGTCCCACCGCCTCTTCCGACGACTGTGCGCACAGGGTCCAGGCGCCGGCTACCACCAGCTCTCCCACTCACCCTCTCTATGCACAGGCTACTTTTAAAATCTTTTACAGTCATTTTTATTAATTAATAAAGCTTTAATGGGCAAAAACCACACCATAAAATTATTACGCATATGCCGCATTTCAGCTTTACTACTATTATCTTTAAATATTTCCCCCAAGTGGAAACTCACTAATTCATAAACCAGAACCTCTTACAGAAAGTCAAGATGCAGGTGGGAAGTTCTCACAACCAGCAAAGGCATCTGGCTCCTAGCTCAGGCCTGCTTCTCCCGCTCTGGCCAGGGATAGAAGGCAGCCAGCCGGGTGGACCTTGGGCCTCTGCGAGGGCAGAGCCATCACAGATCTCAGGCCCAGGAAACATGACCACTATGCCTGCTGTTTGGCCTGGAGAGTCCCCGGTTTGCCTGACTACAGAAATGTCATATAACTACATGCATTTACACACGCAGGCAAAGGAACACGCATGCACGTGTATTTAAACATACACACACGGACATAGGCACTCACATGAACGTACACATAGGCACTCACATGAACTCTTGTACATATGCACACACAGGCAGGCATTCATTCCCACGCGTGTACACACATACTTGCAAGTCACACGCACTCATATGCTCATGTACACACGCACACACACACACATACACACTCATACACGGGTGCTCCGGGTTTTGAAGGCGAAAGCACAAAATCAGTGAATGAAACATGGAAAGGGCAGGTCTTGGGCAATGCAGACACACAGATGCCCAGGCCAGAGAGACAGAGCATCCGGGGGAGATTGGCTCTTCGTCCCTCTCATATTGGAAGGATGTGGGCCTAAGTGAGCGTCGTGCCCTCACGCCCACTCAGCCCCAGGGCCTGGGTTATGTTACAAACAAAACTGGGTGACAAGGTCCCTTGGAATCGACACATAACAATTAAGAAAAGCTGCAGCCAAGACGGTACCACTGGACTCCGATGGCCAAGGGCTACCAACGGTCAGGGGCTCCGATGGCCAAGGGCTACCAACGGTCAGGGGCTCCGATGGCCAAGGGCTACCAACGGTCAGGGGCTCTGATGGCCAAGGGCTACCAATCAATAGTCAGGGACTCCGACAGCCAAGGACTACCAATGGTCAGGGGCTCCGATGGTCAAGGGCTACCAATCAATAGTCAGGGACTCCATGGCCAAGGGCTACCAATGGTCAGGGGCTCTGGATGGCCACAGGGTCTAAACGACCAGGGGCCATGGACGGCCAAGTGCTATCAATGGTCAGGGGCTACGGATGGTCAAGAGCTGCAGGTGGCCAAGGCCACAGATGGCCAAGGAATGTGGATAGTCAAGGACAGCAGAAGGCATGTCCGGACCTCTCCTGAGAACTGCTTCCTGGGTGGGTTCCAGAGAACACTGGCTGGGCACAGCGGGCCGCCCCCCCGCCTCCCGGGACCTGCGCTGGCATCCTGCCACTCACCTGCCGCGTAGCTCCAGCCGGGAATGTGGATGGACAGCTGGCCGGAGTGGCCGCTGGGGCGACAGCAGACGTCCTTCTCCGCTGGCTCTGGTCTTCCGGCGACGGGGCTGGTCTGGGCACCTGTGGAGTCTGTGTTTGCCAGGCAGCACCTCCAAGGACACGTGCCGGTCCCCAGCCGCCCCTGGCCGGAGGGTGGGTGTTCTTGCAGTAAACTCTGTTGCAGACCTGGGGGCCAGCGCTGGGGACCCCCGGGCAGGGCGCGGCCCACTGGCCCTCCGCTGGCCGGGCCGCCGCCGCCATCTGGTGCCAGGCTCGGGGAACTGCAGCCGAGGCTGAGCGACAGGACGGAGCGGTGCAGGGGGCTGGCACCGCGGGGCTGCGGCAGGGGCGCGCAGAGGGGCGCGCAGAGGGGCGCGTCCAGCCGGTACACCGGGCCGGGCCCCTGCCGGGACACCCTGACGTGGACGCAGGAGCTGAACACCAGCGGGCCCAGCGCGGTCCGGGCGCCGTCTGCGGGGCAGCCGCCGTCCCCTCGGTGGTCCCCGCGGGCTGCCCCGCGCTCCCAGCGCCCACCCGGGCCCGGCCGGCCCGCGGCGGCGCAGCTTCTGGAGGCTTCTGCGCGGGCCTCGGGGTGCGCACGCGGGGCCGGGCCCCCGGCGGCCCCCCAGGGCGCGGAGCTGCCCGGCGTGTCCACGCGCCTGGCCGTGATGGTGATGGACGCGAAGCCTCGCGGGGGGCCGCTGTCCGGCGCCTCCTCGGGGGGCCACGGCCCCGCCGTCCGCGCGCTGCTGGGCAGGCAGACGATGGCCCTTCGGACGGCGCGGCCGCTGCGGGCCACGCGCGCGGGGGTCCCCGGCTGCTCCGCCGGCTGCATCATCCTTGTGTCCGGCGAGGACGGCGACCCCTGGGTGCAGAGAGACAGTCAGGCGAGCTGTGCTGCAGGGGCAGGGTCCGCGCCAGGCTCCCGCGGGGGCTGCGTGGCTCTGCCGGTGCCACGGCCGTGCCACGCCGGCAGGGCTGAGATTCCGTCTCCGAGGCCCAGGAACGTGCTCGCGATGCGGCTCCTGGGGAACTGGCAGCACCTGTGGGGCGTCTCCCAAGGCCCAGAGACGTGCTCGCAGTTTGGCCCCGGCCAACTCACTACACCTGTGGGGCGTGGCCGAGCCGCACAGCGACCACGGGGCGTGGCCAGGCCGCATAGCAACCGTGGGGGTTGGCCCAGTCGCATAGCAACCATGAGGCGTGGCCAAACTGCATAGCGACCATGGGGCGTGGCCAAGCCGCATAGCGACCACGGGGCGTGGCCAAGGCGCATAGCAACCATGGAGCGTGGTCAAGCCGCATAATGACCACGGGGCGCGGGCCGAGCTATATAGCAACCACAGGGTGTGGCCGAACTGCATAGCGAAGACCATGGGGCGTGGCCCAGCCGCATTGCGACTATGGGGCGTGGCCAAGGCACATAGCAACCACAGGGCGTGGCCAAGGCACATAGCAACCATGGGGCGTGGCCAAGCCTCATAGGGACCACAGGGCATGGCCGAGCTATATAGCAACCACAGGATGTGGCCAAAACACATAGCGACCATGGGGCGTGGCCCAGCCGCATAGCAACCGTGGGGGTTGGCCCAGTCGCATAGCAACCATGAGGCGTGGCCAAACTGCATAGCGACCATGGGGCGTGGCCAAGGCGCATAGCGACCATGGGGCGTGGCCAAGGCGCATAGCAACCATGGGGCGTGGCCAAGGCGCATAGCAACCATGGGGCGTGGCCAAGCCGCATAGCGACCACGGGGCATGGCCAAACCGCATAGCGACCATGGGGTTTGGCCCAGCTGCATAATGACCACGGGGCGTGGCTGAGCTATATAGCAACCACAGGGTGTGGCCGAACTGCATAGCGACGACCATGGGGCGTGGCCCAGCCGCATTGCGACTATGGGGCGTGGCCAAGGCACATAGCAACCACAGGGCGTGGCCAAGGCACATAGCAACCATGGGGCATGGCCAAGCCTCATAGGGACCACAGGGCATGGCCAAGCCTCATAGGGACCACAGGGCATGGCCGAGCTATATAGCAACCACAGGATGTGGCCAAAACACATAGCGACCATGGGGCATGGCCAAGCCGCATAGCAACCATGAGGCGTGGCCAAACTGCATAGCGACCATGGGGCGTGACCAAGCCACATAGCAACCACGGGGTGTGGCCAAGGCGCATAGCAACCATGGGGCATGGCCAAGCCGCATAGCGGCCACAGGGCGTGGCCGAGCTATATAGCAACCACAGGATGTGGCCGAACTGCATAGTGACCATGGGGCGTGGCCAAGGCACATAGCAACCACGGGGTGTGGCTCAGCCGTGTAGCAACCACGGGGCGTGGCCAAACCGCATAGCGACCACGGGGTGTGGCCAAGCCTTAAGTAGCCAAGGGGGTCCTGGCCAGGCCTTACATTAACCAGGGGACATGGCCAAGCCGCATAGCGACTACAAGCCGTGGCTGAGTCACATAACGGCCATGGGGCGTGGCACGTTGCATAGTGACCACGGGGCGTGGCCAAGCCACCTAGCTGCCGTGGGGCATGGCCAAGCCTTCAGTAGCCAAGGGGGTCATGACCAGGCCGTACAGCAACCATAGGGGCGTGACCGGCCTTGTGGCACACGGGACGCGGGCCAAGCCGCATAGCCACCATGGGGCGTGGCCAAGTCTTAAGTAGCCGAGGGGATACGTGGCCAGGCCTTGCAGCAACCATGGGGGCGTGGCCAGGGCTCACAGATGCTCTGGTGATGGATTGCTAACTTCTCCCCTTTATGCTGCTCACGTGGCCAGGCGCTCTTCAGGGAGAGGTGAGAAGTTGCAAAGGCTGTGTCTACTCGGCTCCCCTCCCCTCCCTCCTGCTCCCCCCTCCCCTTATGCTCCCCCACCTCTTCTCGGCTCTCCTCCCTCCCCTCTGTCCTCCCCCCTGCTGCTCCCACCACCTCCTGTGCTTTCCTGCCTCACGCTCTGGATGAGTCACATGACAGCATCCTCCCTGCTGGTCCCGGCCACCCATGTTGGGTGGACCCTCAGCCCTGACACACAGCAGCTCATCAAGTCACGTCCACGTTTCCATCCCGGGACTGTGGAACCAGGGGAGAGACCGGACAGATGTTTCCGCGTTCCTTTGGATTTTCTTTACGAAGGGACCCCACCTCCCACACCCTCCACTGTCCCCAGCGAAGCAATTCCAGGGGGTCCCTCCAGCTGAGATTTCTCCTGGGCTCTGAGCAAAAGCTGTCTTTTTGCCCTGAGCACAGAGCCAGGAGTAAGCCCTGAGCACCACGGGTATGGCCCTACACTCCACCCCCCCCCCCCCCCACACACACACGAAAGCAAGTCTCTGCATGCATGGCTGCATCCTATTCTGCCAAAATTAAAAGTCAAGATTACACTGAATCAAATTGCCATAAGAAATTGCCTGTGATAGATAATAGGTAATAAAAGGGATCTTGAGAAGTTGAAGACATCAGTGTCTGATACTTATGTAAAAAGGCCGGGGAGACGGGGAGAGAGGCTCGCGTAAATTTCTGCTCATTTCCATATCTCCGCGTCTATAAGGATTTGCCACGACTTTGTTATCTGGAAACGCTCAACTTTTTCCTTCTAAAGTACAGGGCGCTGTTCCATATTTCATTCCTTTTAAATAATCGCTTGGCTGAAGAGCCTGCATATCATTTCCATGGCGGCGATGAGGTCTGAAGAGGGAAGCCATCAATCTGGCTCAGGTGCGGAGGACGGGAGATTTATGGGGCTGCCGGGGGGCGGGAGGGGGCAGACGTGGCCTTGGGGCTCAGCGCTGCCCCACGAAGTCAGCTGCAATGTCTCCGTTTGGAGGGAACGTTGGGGCCAGAGAGATAGCACGGGGTGAGGCCCATCCCTGTTCAGTCCTCGACACCCTCCACCCACCTCACCGGGCAAGACCCCTGAGCACAGAGCCAGGAGCACCCCCTGACCACTGCTGGAGGGGCCCAGCAGGCTGCATCACAGACAAGATCGTATCACTGGTGCTAAATCAGCCCCGAGCAGAAAGTTAGCACTTGGGATTCAGGGAGCGTTTAAGCCTGTCCCGTGTGTGTGTGTGTGTGTGTGTGTGTGTGTGTGTGTGTGCGCGTGCACGCGCATCTGAGTGAGTGTGTGTGCATGTGTGTTGTGTGCATGAGTGTGTGTGAGTATACATGTGTGTGGTATGAGTGTGCGTGTGTATGTGCGTGAACGGATGTGAGTGTGTGTGCATGAGTGTGTGCACGTGTGAGTGTGACTATGCATGTGTGCACGTGAGTGTATACGTGTGTGGGTGTGGATGTGTATGTGTGTGAATGTGTGAGTGTCAGTATGCATGTGTGTATGTTTGTGAATGTGTGCGAGTGTGTGTGTGCGTGAGTGTACATGTGTGTGAGTGTGCCTGTGTGAATGCATGTGAGTGTGTGAGCGTGCATGTGTGTAAGTGTGGGAGTGTGTGTCACTATGCATGTGTGTCCGTGTGTGAGTGTGCGTTGTCTCCGTGTGTGTGTCCCTGTGTGTGCGTGTGTGTGCACACATGCGCACCTGTGTGCATGAGTGTGGGTGTGGCAGAGACATTCATCCGAACGGCCAAGGCCCCTGTGGTGAGTGACCTCTGCAGCACACGCGGCCCTGAGCCCTAGGGGGTCTCCGGGGGGCTCGCTCCCCTGGAACCCATTTCTCTGTGAGCTGGTGGGGGGCTCAACAGCCCCCCTCACTGCGGAACCCCCCTCTGATACTTCTGTTGCCTGCTTCTGAGCAAGGGCTGGTCAAGCAGTGGGTAGTTCCTCCCGGTGCCCTGGTCATGTTCTCCATCCCATGCATGGGTGCTGGGCAGGAGTCGGCAGAGACTCCCAGCACAGAGGAAGAGTGAAGAGCCAGGGGCACTCAGCATGGTCGTCACTATCCTCATCACCCTCACCCTCCTCACCCTCCTCACCGCTCTCTCCACCCCCACTGGAACAGACCCTGTCATCGCACTCTCAGAAGTGGGTCACCAGGTGCCATGGAAACCCCAGAGAGTACCAGGAGGTCTGTAGGACCGTCCCCCACCCGCCCCTGCCAGCCCCACCCAGGGAGGAAGAGCCAGTTCTCAGCAGCACCTAGAGGCCGCGCTGAGATGGGCCAATCTGCTACCGACACTTTGATTTTCTCACCCACACAATAGGGGTGAACCCCCCAACCTGAGCGCGGGGAGGGCTGAGCCTGTGGTACGGACCCCAACACGGGGGACCCCTGCAGGGCGCCCCCGACACCAGCCCAAGTGGCTAGTTCAGGAGCACCTGAAATGCCTCTTTTCACAAATCAAGCCGACCTCTAACTCTTGCGAGCTCAGACCACGGCCAGCTTGCCCCAGCTCACAGTCTCTCTTCTCCAGAGTGGCCCCTGGCACTTGCCCCCGTGCCCGCTGCCTGGCCGCAGACCCTGGTTCATAGTTGAGCCCCTCCCGAAGTCTCCTGCAGCATAACGGGTGCAGATGGGGCATCCGTGCAGCCCTATCGAGAGTTGAGAGGCTCCACCCCGGCCTCTGTGCCAACGGCTCGGCTTCCTGTCACACAATTTGATGAAACAATCAGAGGCTGACACACTGCAGGGGGCCGGGAGTGAGAAGCACGTTACCTGGCTGAGGCCTGAGCTCCACGCCGTGTCTGCCTGGAGACGGTGCAGGACGCCAGGACAGCTCCCAAGGTGCCGTGTGTCCTGTGGCCCTAGGGAAGGGGACAGCGGCCGCATTAGCCCGGGCATGGGGAGGGAAGTCACGCGCTTGGTGTGGATCGTGGCCTCGAGACGCTGGCCTGGGTATCCCTCAGCCCGTGGTCAGAATCTACATCTTGTG